TTTTTAAAATTAATTTTGTATATTATAATATAATTTTTATTTATTTATATGTGCGTACATACATGCCTGCGTATATGTATTTTTTAAAATAAGAATTTCAAGATTGAAAATGGTTTAAAATGTGTTATTATTTGTTAAACTAAATCTTTATGTTAATCTAAATCTTTATGTAGATTATAATAAAAGTTTTATGAATACTTTATATACATATATGTATAAATAGATTATATATATATATATATGTATAAATAGAAGTTCTTTTAAATTTTTTTTCTAATGTAAAATGTTGGAACAAGCGATTTTATTTCAATTAATTTAATATATAGGATATTGTATCAATAAACTCTGGATTTTAAGAAAAACTACACTTATGTACTTCTTAGAATTCCAGAGTGACATACTATGAAATTTAGAACAACTTTAATATGCATTGATCAGAAAATGTAAACGCTTTGCTATGTTTTATTACATCAATGATGCACTGAGTATAACACACTTAATTCAATTTTGATTGCTTATAACTTTCATAAAAGTGAACAAATTTTTCTTTCAATGGGAACGCCTAAAATTTAGGAATAGAACGATACAAACAAATATGTTTATTAAGTATATAGCTGTGTTTTAAAATTTACTGCTAATACTAAAAATCTATAGTACACGTGATGTAAACTACCAGACTTTCAGTACTGACAGTAAATTTTGAAACGCAGTCTATATGTGTTACAACTCAAAGAATTACTAAAAATATAAAAATTTTATAAATTGTTCTATTATTAATACATGTTATCTATATAAAATTTGAGCACTTTTTTCTTATTAGTTCAAAAGTTATTTAAATTTTTTATTTGCCTTGCTTCTTATCTAAAATCGTGTAAATTGTGTACAGATTTGCAAGTTCGATGAGGAAGTACAATAGTATTACGAATATATTACGAATTAAATCAAATATTTTATACATATTAATAAAATTCTAATGCATAATTCGTGCAAAGTGGATTTACTTGAATCCACTTAGTCATTTCAAAATTATTTATTTAAAATTGTAACTAAAAGTGGTGGTAAAAGCCATTAAAATGGCTAAATAATTTGTTTTGTCTTTTGCAGTCCGTTTTATGGCGTATTTATGACACAATTTTTTTATAATATATAATGTTGACTGATATTGGCTTTCGTTTAACTGATTTTTTATTGATACTTTTAACAAAAGTATCAAAGAATATTGTAAAATATTCTTAAAAAATTTAAATATCCCTAAAAAATTTATAAACAATAAAGTAAACAGAAGTTTTAGAAAAGACTGTCTTGTATTTAAAAATTCTTATCTTTTGTACATTACGTAAAATTATGTTAATTTTATTTATAAGTGCTTGAAAAGTAGAATCTTTGAATTAAAAAAAAAATATTATTAAACGTTTATTTAATATAATTATTCAAGTAATATAATTATAATTAATTTTCTATATAGCTTTTTTATTTAATTAAATATAAATAAAT